GTGTACTTTAAGTATCTGTCTAAAATGCAATTCTGTGTCATTATTCAGCTGCTTAATATCTTTCAGTGGGTCCCCTCCACCTCAGATAGGCCCCGGCCATCAGGCCTGTCTGTTTTCTTGCTCCGCCCTTACAGCCTAGCTGGAGCCAGCCATTCAGAACTCTGCATAGCACTTTCAGCACTTTGAAGGTGTGATAGACCTTTTTACACTTTCCAGAAGGTTCTTCATGTTTGTAGCACAAATGGGGCTCAGGACCATTGAATGTTACCAGTGAGAAGGCGTGTGGGTCATGTAGTTGAACTCTTAACGTTTTTGAAGGAACCAGGTACTAGGGAGGTGGAGGGTTGTGTACAGGTTTCCCAGACTGTTAACTGTAAAACACGATGGTGTTGGGCACATAGTTGGGCTGACAGTAGCTTCGGCTGACAGAGTTCTCACAGGCGTGCAGGGATTAGACAGTGTATCGGCCAGTTTCAACCAGTTCTTAAAACCACACTCAGCCAATGGGAGACCTGGTGGCCAGGAGGGTTTTTCAGCTTTGTCCAAATTTCAAGACAGTTTTCTTTCTCTTACACTGAGTCAACACTTGTTTTTGTTCATTGACGTAATACTTAAAAAAAAAAATTGCTTTATGAATCAGTCACTTGACCAGGGGAGTGACGATAAGAATGTCTTCATGTTTATTTCTGGAAGAATGTTTCTTGTCGTAATAATAATAACCATGTACAGAGTGCTTTTACTTCCAGACATTTCTGTTCATCTTTCCAGTCAGGCTCCTGGATTACAGTGAGGACACGGCCACCCCCCATCTCCACATTCAGTGCTTTACCTGCTGCTGGGGGCGCCGCGCAGCTCAGGGGCTCCCTCTACTGGTGGTTAAGTGCGGCTTCGTTACCTCGTTTAAGTACTGTTTATCGACCCAGACCAAGGGGTCTGAGGAATGTGAACATAAACCAGTCGTGGCCTTTGCAGAGAAGAGATGATAAGATTTACATACATGTTGCTGTAATGCAAGGTGCAGCTCCACTCGTGATACTAGGAAACTGAGCAGACAATGCCGTCGATGTTCGGAGGTCAGAGAGCTTAATTGCAGCTGGGGAGTTAGGGAAGGCCTCGTGGAGGATGGGATGTGTTTCTGGATGTGAAGGGGTGAGTGAGACTTGGCTTTGTGGCTCCCAGGGTGGGTGGGAAGAGGATCAGCACCCCGGCTGGAGGGAACGGTGCTGCCGGGGTGCTGATGGGGAGAGCAGGGAGGGGCGCAGACCCGGGAGGCAGCGAGTGCGCTTTTCCGATCAGTCGGAGGATGGGACCTGGGAGGCGGAGAGTTCCATTAGGGTCAGGGTGGCGTTTCCCAGGCCTGCTGCTGACGAGGAAGATGGTTGGCAGAGGGACGACAGGCCAAGAAGACGGTCATTTACATTTAGGTGGTTACTGCCACACGTTGGTCATCGCTCTGGGGTGGATGGTTCCTGAGAAGTGACCAGAACCAGCTCCCAGATCCTTCTCTGGCCGCCACCTCTCCCATGTGCACACACAGAGTGTCAGAGGCTACTCTCGGTCAGTTCACACCCTCCTCACTAAATGACCTTTCCCGGACCTCAGTGTGGTCTAAAGCATGAGGCATACAAGGAAAGATTCCTTCAGCCTAGTCCACGGGCGGCTTAACGTCCATGCACTTGACTCAGGCCAAGGGGCTTCCATGCCCCCCCTGCCCAACCCCAGCTGTGAAGAAGGGCAGACTGGTGAGAAAGAAGGAGGAAATGTTCGTGCCTTTATTTACAACAGAACTCCAGCCACTCTGGTGTCTGCTCCTCTCCAAAAGGCGACAGACTGTGACCCGTCTGATGGCACTGGGAGGAAAGGCTTCCCAGACACTGAATCTAAAGAGACATCAGAAACAAAGACAAAACCAAGCTGGAACTTAGTTCCTAGCCTCAGACCTGAAGACTTTCATTCTGCACACTGAAAGCTCAACCCAGGGCCCATGGCGTGTCTGTCCCCCGGCGCTGACCTCCAGGAAGGACTGAGTGGGGGCGGACATCTGCGTCGCTTCTGCTTGTGGGGATAGTGGAAGTGGAGGGGCAGAGGGTGCGGGCTGGAGGGAAGAAGGCGGGCGAAGCGAGGGGCCATGGAGGTCACAGCGGTAAGACACAGGCAAGAGTTGCCCAGGCTGTGAGCACTGCCTTGGCCGTCTGGCCATCCCCACTGAGGTGTCCAGCAGACATCTCAGACTCAGCCTGCCCCTAAGGGACCTCCTGATCTTCTCTCGCATCTGCTCTGCGCACAGCCTCCCCATCTCGGCAGCACTAACCTTCTAGTTGCTCAGGCCAGGACCTTAGAGGCATCCTTGATTCCTCTGTGTCTTTCCCACCTCATCTCCTCTGAGGTAAGAAAACCTCTGAGGCGTTACCTTTGAAGCACGTCCTGACGGGTGTGCTGCAGCCATCCGGTCTGAACCATCTCTCACCTGTGTCGCTGTGCTAGCTGCCTCCCTGGTCCTTCCAGCCCACTTCAGTCCATGCTAAACTCAGCTAGAGTGATCTCTTAAAAACACGAGTCAGGTCTCGTTACTTTTCTGTTCAGAACCTTGAATGGCTCCCTGTTGTCCCCCACGGTAAAGGCCAGAGTCCTTACAATGGCCTTAGGTTCCCACGTCATTGGGCACCCCATCTTCCACTCCACCACCCAGCAGTTACTTCTGTGTCCTCTCTTCCCTCCAGCCACACTGGCTCCTTTGCTATTCCTTATAGCCATCAGGCTCACTCCTGCCTCATGGCCTTTGCAGGAGTGGGCTGTTCTCTCTGTCTAGAATGCTCTTTTCCCGCAAGTCCACAGGCCCCCTCCCCAGCTGTAATACTGACCTTAGGAGGCAGTGATCTGCTTTGATTTAGTGTCATGGAGATTACCCGTGGTTCGGGGCCAAGAAATACATCCTTTTATGGAAGCGTATAGGCCTCCGTGTCTACTGATTAACTAGAATGAAACTGCTGTTGGCTCTTAAAAGCAGTTGGGACTGCAGAGAGATGTGTACAGTACATTTCAGATTTCAACCAAGGGCCAGCATATTAAAGTCAAGCCAGCTGTGATGGGGTCGCTGAGCCAACGTATGCGAGGTTTGTAATTCTCCATTTGGTGAAGGTCGAAGGCATTCTCGTTTGAAAGATCAATGCAGGTAGCATTTAAGGAATGTTTGGTGTAATATGTTACATGTGTACTATCACTTGGTAATTTTCAGCCTTGATTATATAGTTATACCTAAAATATTTAAACGAATGACACAGCTACCATTTTATTTTAGTTCACTTATTTATTCTTCGGATGTTTATCTTAACTTTTACATTAATTTTTGAAAGATTTTTTTACCAAAATATTAACCATCATAATTTGATAGATAGAACATAGGTTTTGAGATCAGAGGACATTCATTTTCATTCAGTTTAGTTCGATCTTTACACTACTGGCAGTATTAGCTTAGAAGAGTTACTTTTGTTCCTCTGTGTTTTTGACTATAAAGTGAAAATTCTAGTTTTTCTGCTCTTAGGGTTATTGCTAGAATCAGATCAAATGCCCGCAGATACTGCGTCTAAAGCACTGGCTCATTGTTGGCTGTCACTTGGGACAGCATTTACTATTGGACGTATTAGCATTTGGCAGTGTTTTGGGGCAGTTCAGAGATTCAGAAAAACATCATTAATGACTTTGAAACCAAAACTCCTGCTTGTGGCTGATGGCCACTGCACTTGTTTTATTTTTGTTGTTATTTGTATACATCTTTATTATTTCCCAGTGACCCCACCACCACCACGCCAGAGTCCATGGAGAGCACACCCCTGTGTTCTCGCCTTCGTTCACCCCTGCCCTGTGTGTAAACACACACGAGTTTGCACGTATCTGTTTGATTTTGTGGGCAGAAATAAAGATGAAAACTGTCTTCCATCTTGGAGCTTGTTCATGGAAGATCTCTTCACTGTTCTGTTGAGTACAGATTTGATTTGGTTCACCATTTAATTCAGCTTCTGTCATGTGCCAAGTACTTTGCTGGACTAGGGTTTTAAACTGGAAAAGAGGTGGTTTTAGCTCCTGTCAGGAATAGGCAGAATCCTGTGGTTACCCCGTGTTAGGACGCTTTCATGACAAATGTACACTTGCACTGCTGCTGGGGCACCGAGGGACGGATGTGGCTGTTCTCTAGACTTCCGGAGCTGGGGCGAAGGGGCAGTGCTGGGCATGAGTCTGTTCACATGGGGATCACTGGTCTGTCTGACACCAGATCTCCAGCAGACGTCTGGCCAGAGAATTAGTCAGCCTGCCCTCTGGACTTTCTAGGGAAGGACCAATGTCAAGTACTCTGTGCATGTAGTCAAGCCCTGCATCATCTGATTTTTAGTTTGGAAAATAAAGTCATCATACAGGGGTAGGGAAGCATCAAATGGCGCATCAATTATGAAATATTTGCCAGGTTTGCTTGGGGGGCAGGGTTGCAGCCTTGGGGTCAGGACCAAGAGATGTGCTTTGGGGTCTGTGGCAGTTGGATACCTGCCAGATGAACCCATGGCAGAGGTTCCAGCCTGACGCTCAGCCAGACATGTTCCTCCCGGCTCTAGCCCCCAATGAGTGTTTATTTTCTCTTATCTCATTAAATGTAACATATGTTCGCAGAGCACCCACTGTGTGTGGGCTTAACGCTTGTCTTTAGATGTGGTGGTGAGAAGTGTCCTGTGTGACCTGAAACGCAAAGTGATGGGTAGTGACCAGAGCCAGGCTATGGGACGCTTCGCGGTAGTCACAGGCAGCAGGGAAGAAGGTGGGCATTCTTCTCTCTCCTGGGTCCCCCAGTTCCTTTCGCAGAGCTTCAGAAGAGCTGTCAGTGAAGCGGTGAAGCGGACCAAGGGGGACGGCGCGTTTGGCGTGTGTGCTGCGCACAGCTACGCTGGCCTCTGCGTTTATGCGCGACGTCTTAGCAGGACAGACCACTAATGAGTCTCGTCTTTCTGTTTCAGACAGTCCGTTCGAGGATCCCGACCTTAAGGACGCATATCTCATTCCAAGAAACATCATGGCTGAGCCAGACTATATAGAAGACGACAATCCTGAGCTAATTAGGCCCCAGAAACTTGTCAACCCCGTGAAAACGTCCCGCAACCATCAGGATCTTCACAGAGAACTTCTTATGAATCAGAAAAGGTAAGGCGGCTTCTTGAGCCAAGTTTTCCTTCGGAGGTTTCTAAGGTAACTAGGTTTAATTTGAATTATGTTTGTGTCTTGAACATGTTTGAGACTTTCTAGTTCCTTCTAGCATCCCTGAGCCAGGACAACCCTGTCCCATTCTCTGTCTCCTTCTCAAGCGGGCACATTTTAAAATTTGGATGGAAGGGGCCGGATAGAAGGGAATGTTCTAAGCCAAAGAGAAATACATTATTTCTTAGATTTGTAAAAATTCTGAATTTTCCCCTTGCATCTGGTAACATGTGGGAGTCAGATATAAACATTGCCCACTTTAGTATTTGTCGAGTGGTAGGAAAAAATCTAGACTTCACAATAGTTAAGATCACTTTTTCTTGTATTTTTCTCAGTTTTTAAGTAACGTTTTAAATCATCCCTATCATCATTTGTATTATTATTGTTTCAGAGAGGAACAAAACATTGACCTTCTATTTTCTTTGTAAACCATTTATTAGTCATAAACAATTTTAGATGTTAGGTTGGCATCCTCTGCTATTTAAGTGATGTTAACCAGGTCCAATAGACGGAGAACAGAGGGCACAAAGTTGCTGTATTTATTAGGACACAAGCTTCCTGTCTTTATATCTATTAAGCTTCATTTAGAACTATTTTCAGATCTTCAGAATGCAGCCATTGATCTGAATTATGAAGCTGTCTTGGTCACTCATCTACCTACTCTTTGCTAAGCCCTGGTAGCTACCCATCAAACTGGAAGATGCGCAGACCAAGTTAAGCATTAGGGTCATGTCCTAGAGCAGCGGTCTCCAGCCTTTTTGGCACCAGGGACCAGTGTTCCTCTGAGAATCTAATGCCCAATGATCTGAGGTGCAGCTGGGGCGGCGATGCTAGCGCTGGGGAGTGGCTGCAAATACAGATGAAGCTTCGCAATCTCATCCACTACTCACCTCTTGGTGTGCAGCCCAGTTTCTAACAGGCCCTGAACCGGTATTGGTCCATGGCCCAGGGATTGGGGACCCCTGTTTTAGAGGGAAGGCCTAATTAAAAGTGATTTTTAAAAAAATAAGGAATGTGGGGGCATTTTTAGAGCAGTTCTCCTTCCCGACTATACATCTGCCAGAACTTGTAACTCCTGTCCCAGGAACTCTTTGTAAGCACATCCTCCCTTGAGGCTGTGGGGATGTGACTCCCTCCCTCTTGGCCCCAGGACACACCAGTGTGCTGCTGGATTAATGCTTATGAAGTGAATGCATGTTCGGTCCTTTCTGAATAAGTGCTTAGTTTCTACTGGTCTTTGTCACATAAAAGAAAAAAAAAATATATGGATTTAGTGTCATCACACCCAAAGTAAAACGGGACTCCTTAATTTCCTAAATAAGCCACAGAATTTGGAGGCAATCCTGCCTGAGAAACCATGTCTGCATTTTGGTAGAAAGACCGAAAGTTTAATATGTTCCAAAACAGACTTAGCTCTACATGGTTTTCTAAACTAAATGGTTTTCTGATTCTCTTTGCCTCTTGGACCTCAGTTTTCTTACCTGTGAAGTGGAAATATGGGACTGAGTTATCTCTTAAGAAACATTCTAGCTGAAACTGTATTTTGTTTTGTTTTGTTTTGTTTTTTCTATTATATATATGAAAAGGCTCCCAAGTCAAGGGAGTAGGCCAAGGTAACACCGAAATTGGCAGATAACTGTTTTCTGAATTATAGGCTACAAGTTATTCTGCAAAAATTTAATAGCCTAGGTCATATTTCTTAAAAATATATAGGTTTGCGCAATTGAATATTTCCAAATATTCTATAATAGACACTTTCTGTGAAAATAGACCACCCTTCTCTCTGTCTAGCTCTGGACCATGCCTTCTTTATACAGTCGCCCTTAGCCAGGCCCAGATCAGCTAGTTCAGGAGGATGCTGGCATTCCCGCAGGTCCCGCGGGGCAGGAAGGGTGTGGGCTTCAAGGTCAGAGAGAAATGGCTTTATGCTCTTGGAAAGGTCCCCCTTCTTGAGACTTGTTTCTTCATATATAAAGTAGGAAATAAAAATATCTTTCTTATAAAAATTAAAGTAAATAATAACATGTATAAATATCTATTAAAATGCCTGGAATACAGTGCCATCTATCACTCCTTTCACTCCCCATGTAATTTCATCTGGAAATTCCTATTTCTTTCCACCCTTTTTCTCTGGAAGTTTCTGATCTGGCTTTAATGAGGAAATACATTTTTTTAAAAAGTAAGAAAGAAAAGGTAGGTTCTAAAACCTAATGAATATATGTATTTCATCCCATATCTTTAGTTTGTTTAAGGTAAAATCTTAGTTTGGTTAAGTCTTCTTATTAGAAATACAACTGGTTTTAGAGTGAACACTTCTCTTTTATTTATCTTCTATAACATATACTTTTAGAAATAGTGGGGTTTTATTTCTAAATTTTAATGCCAAATAGGAAGTATTACAATAATATATATGTTTGGTTAAAGAGTAATCACACTTAATTACTGGTTTTTACCATAATGAAAGTCTTAATTATTTTCCTGTAATTTCCCGTATTTTATTTTATTCAGTGATCTTTCTGGTAACCCAGTGCATGTTATCTTGAGGTTACTCTAATTCGACATGTGAATAAGATAAAAATCAGGGTCACTGGCTAAGGACTCTTCTTGAGATCTCAAAATAGTTTTTTGGAGTAAAAAGCATGGAAATAAACATAGAATTAAAGGCAGTTTAAAGGCAGAGATGAATCCAATACAGTCATAATAAAAATGAGGAAAAGGATAGGGACGTGAGAGGGAGACAGAAATGAGATCCACACAAAACGAACTTTCCACGGAGCCCTGCACCGTTTCCCTGCATGACCGCAAATATGGCTCAAAGCCCTGTGAGCAGTTAGTCCAAAGAGTTTTTCAAGGTCCTTTTTGGAGATCATAAGATAAAAGCAAGAAGTCACTGCTTACGCGAACAAATACTCTACTCATAGGTATTCTGAACTCTCAAATATGTAATTTTGCTCCTCTATTTGCCATCTTTTGGACCCAGCTAAATTTCGGGTTAAAAGTCTTTACCTTTTGTTCTGGTCACAGTTTGCCACTAGGACTGATATGAAGACCTTTTTCAGGTTCTCATTTTCGATAGGTATTTCCAATGGCATAAAAAGGCAGATTTCAAGAGGCAAGTTTTTTTTTTTTATGGTTTTTTTTCTTGTTTTTTGTTTTCTTACTTCGAAAGATCAATGTTTAAGTGGTCTTAAAAAGTAAAAGTGTTTTTAACATAATTTACAGAGATTCTAACTTCTTTACAGAGAGTACTCTTTGAGAGCAAATATAGAATATTCAGGTATTCAAACGCATTCCTAAAACTGGCTCTTTGGCTTGTACATTTCAGTCAATGGTTTCTAGTTCCCTGAGTTTTTAGTTGATCTTCATTTGGCCTACTTTGCTGGACAAATATTTTCTCAATAAATAATGGTTGCTGTAGAACATGGAAAAACATGGGAAATTGTGATAGATGTATTTGCATTTGAATCCACTCAGGTAGAAATGGTTCAGGCAAAAATGTAGACAACATAGGCCAGACCGGAAAATTCCAAGGTTGGAGATAAAGGGCTTGAAATCCAAATGCACCCTTACTCTCCACGCGAAGAAACGAAGTAGGCCAGATGTTCGGCTCTGTGCCAGGGGAGCATGTTCTGTCAGGATCTGAGCCAGCCTCGCCTCTGGCTCAGCTCTCCCAGGTGAGGGGGCGGTTTCACTTTTATAGGTTCAAGTACGTCTGAAATGGAGGTGGAGGCAGAGTGATGCGGACCCTTCCAGTCCACCCAGAGGTGTATTCAGTGGATTATGTGAAAGGTGAAATGTACCTTTAGAAGTCGTCTGTACATTTCATCACTGGTGGTAGAAATATAAAGTCTTGCATCTTATTTGGAGGGCAGTTGGCAGTACACACATCAAATACAAAATGTACAGAGGCTTAGCCAGCAATTCTGTGAATGTAGCCAACAAACATTTTTATGAGTGCAATTATGAATGTATAAGGAAGTTCACTGCCACATTACTTTTATTAGGGAACAATTGGAAGTGACCTGAATGCCTATCAGAGCGGGAGTGGCAAGGTCACGGCGCTTTCGTGCTGTGCCGCCTAGTGCAGATAGTAAGAATGAGAAAGAGCGTTTGTTGAAGACACAGACAGTGTGGAGAAGTCTAGACAACACCCTAGTCCCAGCGGGCAGGGCCTCTACCTCGTTTAGCTTTCAGGGCCACCGGTCACATAGGATACAATATAAGTGGTGCTCCTAAGCTCTGTTTACCAGGGAGAGTTTTGGTGTGCTTTCACTTTTTTACACGTATGTACATGTTACCTAACCTAGTTTTTTTTTTTTTTTTTTTTGCGGGGAGCACTTCTTAATTTAAAAAGCTGGCTTGGCCCACTATCATAGTCACAGCAAGGAGGCCTAGGGTCAGCTGTTTGTCTTGAGTAGTACAAAGCCATCAGGACTTGAGCACCTGTCAGTCCTAAAGAGATTGAGAGTACTCGTTAATTATACATATCAACTATTAAAGAAAATCAACCGTTGTCATGCATAGAACAGTATTGTAGTTTTGATGAAATTCGGGGACGCTCATTTCCGTCTGTCTGTGCTCTCTGCAGTCTGACCCAGTTTTAGACTCAGAATCATACAGGCAGTGCTCGTGTGATTTTCCGTTCAGCCCAGAAAGTTAAGTGATCCACTACAATAAAATATTAACCAAATGTGTATGACTTCTCTACTGTTATAAGTGAAGAACATTTATCATGTAAGCACCATTTCCTGAGCTTTCTGTTACTAAATATTTTATCTTACTGCTATCATTGTGTAAAATCTTTGAATAGAAAATGAATACTGTACATTAGTTAAACCCATTCATATGTCACGATAGAATGTCAGCTTAGTGTGTCATGTATCAAAGTTTGTTCAGTAGCTTTTGTAGAATCCTGAAGAATTTAATAACAGTTGAGGTTAATTTTGCCAGAAAAATAGG